ATTGAAACATTGAATGTGTATATTTTGATTGATGAACAGAACTACTTGATATTGACTTGAAATTTTTACAGAAAATGAATATGAAATGAATACCTTGAAAGTAGAGGATAGAGGACGATTATTTAGGTTCTTACTGATAATTTCAAGATATACTCGGTGAAATCTAAAATTAAACGATAGCTTTATTATTCTATGCAATGTTGAGAGGTACTCGTACCACCACCTACCACAAAATTAGAGACCACGATAAATGGTTGTAAATCATTATTTTGCAATAAAAGCCGGAAAAGATAACCAGTGACGGTGATTCGTAACAACTGATGGGACCGGTGACGGTGCACCGTAACAACCGGTGGGAACGGTCACAGTGAAACCGGTGACAAATACCGTCACCGTTGCACACCTAACCAACACCAACTCAAAAAAAAAATTTCGTTATCTATAGACATCTTTTTCATTCTACGTTTTCCTTTTCGGCGTTGTTCTTTTCTGCCTTTTCCGTCAATTCGGTTCTTATGACATGAGTCAAACACAACGAGCAAACAGGATAGGATGGTATGCTATCGTACTGTATCGTTTGTGCTGTTATATTATGAAGTAGAAATCTTTCGTTAGTAGAAAAAATAGTTCAACGGAATAAATATTTTCAATAGCATAAGACTCAAATTATTCGAAGTCACAAAATTTAAAATTATAATTACCTATTTATCTTTTCATTTTGTTTTTAGTTTTTCTACTTAAAACAAGTTCTGTTAAGAAAATGATGATTTGTTGTTTTTCCTTTATAGTTTAACTAAACTAATGATCAACGGAACAGTGTTAACTAAAATGAGCATTTAAGTAATTACAATAATTTTTATAGCTTAATCACTGATTTCAATGTTGTTTTTGGACTCTATATTAAATTATTATTTCATTGTAATTAATGACTCTATTGAGATAATAGATCATTATGAAATGAACTTCAAGAAACTCTTCACAAATTTACATTGTAGACAAAAATATTTGAACATTTCAATCGAATGAATATATTCACCATTACTTACTATCAGAGCCAAGAATGATTGATGACTATGAATCATAGGGACTGATTAGATTTTTATAGTATATTTTAAAATGACATTAGACTATACGATGGTTGTTCAAGACATACGTGTCTAGTTATTTATTAATATCTTACCGAGTCTATTGAAATAAGTCAAAGAAATTTTATATTTTTGATTAAAATAAAAAGAATAATTTCACGTCATCTGCAGGAATCGATTTATGGTAAAAAAAAATGAAAAAAAAGCTTTCTTCTTATTTATTTTGATTTGTAATCAATGAAGCAGAACGATTTATTTGTCCATGATGATATTTATTTTGTTTTTATCTAATAATTAATCGATAAAAACAATTGATGTCGTCCTTACTTTATATTCCTCGTTCGTCATTCAATGAAGAAGATTTGAAAAGTCTCGCTACTTTATGTTTATCACAGGATCAAGTTCGTGTCGATACGCATGGAGGTCGTCGAGCAGCATTTCAATATTTATCGCAATTAAAATCATTCGGTATGGATTTATCACCTTATATTGATTTAAAAACATGGGACAAATTAATAAAAAAAATTGAGAAAATAAAAAAATTTGACTATTATAAACAAAATTTTGATGAAAATAGAGATAATACATTTGAAAAATATTGGGAATTAAATAGTGAATCACGTAGAATTGATTCAAAAGCTAAAAATAATCGAAAATATACAACGGAACATTTTCAACCTGAACAGTTAAAAGTTTATTTTAATAAAAAACAAATTGAAAATATTCCTTATTCAGAAGCTACTTTTGAATCAAGTGGTTTTGTTGACAGTGATGTAAGAGATAACATGAGAAAATATCCAATTAATCAACGAAAAAATAAAGGTCAAATAAAAACAATTCAAGGAAGAATTGAACAAGCTGTTTTTCATGTTCCACCTGGAAAACAAATTATTATTTTAGATTTTGCAGATGATAGAATGCCTGGAGGTAATTTGATGATTTATTTTATACGTAAATTTTATTATTAAATATAAAATAGGCCTTTTTCTTTATGGTGCTTCAACACAAGAAGAAACAATTTGTTATAATTCGAATGCATATCGAGCTTTACTTGATTTTAAATATCAAAGATTCGATGGAGGTTTTATGATTCCAGAATTTGGCTGTTTATATATTAAAAATGTGAAATTTTTTCAACCAGTAGATCCTAATGTTAATAAAAATGTCGATATAATTGCTGCTGCTTGCTATGATTTAACAGAAGTACATGGATTATATATTAAAAATAAAGAAGATAAAAATCTCCACAGTTGTACGAAAAAAAAATTTGAAACAATAATTGCTTCTGCACAAGCGAATAGTGATGGCAATGGAGAAAATACTTATCTGATTTTAGGTCCAATTGGATGTGGAGCTTTTGAAAATGATATTAAAACTATTACTGAATTATGGGAGAACGTTTTATCAAGTCCATTAAATGAAAATTTAAACACTAAACAACATCATGCTTTTGAAGAAGTTTGGTTTCTTAGTGGAAAAGATGATAAATTAGAAATTTTTGAAAAAGTTTTCCAACTTAATCCGAAAGAAAGAATGCAAGCTCGACCTAATTGAAGAAATTATTATATTTTAAATTTATTATTTCCTTTGACTTGATAGAAATTTTCAATATTTTCAAGTTTATATAACGTATTAATAAATTTAAAAAAATAGTCTCATATTTCCAATATTTCTAGAATTTATTTTAAGGGAAAATTTATTCATTTATTTTCTTATTTACAATCTATTCAACTTATATATGTATTATATGAGAAATAGTTAGTTTCGATTGCTATTTTGAATTTAATAAAATAAAAATGAAATGATTCTTCGTCATAACAATATTTGTTCTCTTTTGATTCAATAGTCTCGTACCACTGTAGAGAACAATCTTGAAGACTGATTACATGAACAAAATAGATATCATTAATCAAATGTAACTTTTATTAATTCGAATAATTGTTTTTAGTCTTAGAGATGATTAACAACTTGAGAATTGATACTCAGTCATTATAATAATTCTATTGAAAAAATTATTTATAGATAACATTCGATTAAAAATATTTATCTGTTGATTCAATAAATTTTATACTCGAATTTTAAATAATATAGAAAATCTTCTGATTGATTGATAGATTATTTTCCTTGAATAAAAATTTGTTAGTCTGTTTTCAAGTGCATATTTATCCATTAATTAAAATGCTATTGATGAAGAATATAGAAGACTTTTTTTTTATTGTTCACTGTTATTATTTAATGACAATTTATTAGTAATAAATCTCGAATAAAAAGATTTCCAGCACAGAAACGAGTTTATTAATCGTGAGAAATTTTCTCTGTTGTTTTATACTCGTTTTGTTGATCATCAATCATGTATAAAAAAAATCGATTAGTCATTGTTAATAAGAATTGTCCAACTGATTTCATCGTTAATCGATCACATTTCCTTTCGATTGGTAATTTTAACAATTTTAGAAAAACATCCGGCATTGAAAATTACTTATCAATTGTTATAGAAAAATGGCAAGTTGACATTGTCATTTGCTTTTTGTTACTTTAATGACATTTTTTTTTATATTCTAATTTTAAGAAATAAGTTTCTTTTTTCAGATTGATTTTTAAATAAAATAAAATATTTTTATGCGGAATCAATATATATATATATATATATATATATATATATATTTAATTTCTTTATTAAATTAGTTTAAGCGTTAATGGTTGACAGTCAGTTGAGGGTTTTTTTTATTTTTTACGTAAAAATGACGAACAATAATAACTATATATATATATATATGAATTATTATAATATAATAGGTTTAATAGACAAAACTAAAATACTGATTGACTAGAATAAAATAAAAAATAGACTATTTTTTTGTGGATGCTGTTTGAGCGTCTTGTTTCGCTGCTTGCTCTGTATCTTTGGTTTTTGTTTGTTGATAATCGGGATGCATTGAGCCAGTTTGTTGTAATCTAACATGCCATGAAAGAGCTTGTTGAAGATCATGTGGTGTATGTAAACCAAATGAAACACGTTGAGCTTGTTTATAATAATCCCTCAATTGATCTTTATACATTGGATGAACACATTTTTCAATAATTAATTCAGCTCGTTGTTTTGGAGTTTTAGCACGTAAATCAGCTAAACCTTGTTCACTAACCATTATTTGAACTGAATGTTCATTATGATCACAATGTGATACCATTGGAACAAAAGAAGATATTTTACCACCTTTAGCTATTGATGGAGTCATAAACATTGATACATACTGTAAATTCAAAAACAAAAAGAGTATTTCGAAAAAAAGAAGAATTTTTTTTTACAGCATTTCGAGTAAAATCTCCACTACCACCAATTCCATTCATCATAGCAGAACCTAAAACATGTGTTGAGTTAACATTTCCATAAATATCCGCTTCTAATGCTGTATTCATTGTAATAAGACCTATCCGACGAATAACTTCTGGATTATTTGATATTTCCATAGGACGTAAAATAAATTTTGATTTAAGTTCTGTTAATTGATTAAAAAATCTTTTTTGTCCTTCCAATGAAAATGTTAATGCTGTTGTTGATGCAAAACGAAGTTTATCACTATCAATTAAATCAAATATTGAATCTTGTATTACTTCTGTATACATTTCAATTGATTTAAAACGATTATCTTTCGCTAAACATTTTTTAATTTTTGATGAAAAGAAAATATCTTTTTTTTGTTTTTTTCTTCTAATTACCTATACAAGCTAAAACAGCATTAGCAACATTACCAACACCGGATTGAAATGGAAGTAATTTTTTTGGAATTCCTTGAAAATAAGAAAAATTTAATTAAAAAGAAACAAAAAAAATGTTTTTTTTCTAATAAACTTACTTCCATGTTCAACTTCATTGAGAATAAAATCAAGAATATGATTTGCTATTTTAAAACTTGCATCATCAGGTTTTTTAAAGCCTTATTATTAAATTTTATTAATTATTTATTATTAACTAGTTGATTTAAAAAAATTACCTGGAGATGAATCAAATTTATTTGTTAGAATAATACCTTTTATTCGTTCAGGATTGACTCGAATATAGGGTGTACCTTAATAGAATAAGTTTTATTATAGAAGGACAAAATAATTATTAAAAAAACGATCACTGACTTAAAAACAATTTCTATATATATATATATATGTACGTAGAAAGTAAGAGAATGGATTGAAAATATTTCTTAGGATAGTTTTTTAAATTTCTATTTCAATATAAAATATTAGAATAATGAAAAGAATTGAATGATCTTTATTCTTTAAAATTTTATTCGATTAAATCTATATAGAAATTCGTCTAATAAATACCTATAGATTGAGTTGACAAAAGTTACTTCGAATTATATTCATAAATAAACTTACTATAAGTATTTAGAATTAAATCAAGTCTTATTTTACTTCAAATTAATCAATATCTATTTCATCTGAGTAATAATTCGATTTTTCAGTGAATTTCTAACTAGTAGATGATAGATTTCTATTTAAAAAAATGTTAAACTCACCAATTCTATCATCAACGTAATCAATATTAATAGGTCGCCCTGTATGTAATTCAGGTAAATAAATATCATGAAGACCCTTCATTTCTAGTGGATGTGCTTCATTTAATTCAACATAAATATCTTTAGCTAAAGCTAAATATGTTGAACTCATACCACTTGAATTAGTTAAATAAATTCTTCCATCCGAAGTAACATCACAAGCTTCAACAATGGCAACATTAATTGGTGGAAAAATGCCTTCTCGCATATATCTGCTAACATGACTTAAATGCATATCAATGAAATCTAATTTTCCTTGGTTAATAAATTTTCTTAGATCTGGATGGGATTGATATGGAATTTTTAATTTTAATCTTCCAGTTCTCGCTAAAACACCGTCGAGTTCATCACCGGTTGATGCACCAGTATATAAATTAATTGAAAAATCTTCGGGATTTTTTGAATTTTTAATTCTTTGAGCATAAGCACCGGGTATAACTTTTGGATAACCAGCTGGTGTGAAACCAGATGCACCTAATGTTAATTTTTCAGGCAATTTTTCAGCAATATCTTCAGCTGACATTAATTTAGATTTAATAAATGAATTGATTCGAGATTCACTTGAAAAACATCGATGTGAGATTTTTGTGAAATGTTGGCGACGAAACATGTTTAGTTTTTTTTGTTTTTCTTCTTTTTATTCAATTCGATCTGAAATAACAAAAACAAAGATAACTTTTCGTTAATATTTCAATCAAATAAATGATAAATATTATTTTCTGCGTTTATTTTGTTTTAATTTCTTTTTTATTATATTTTCTAATGACGAATCAATAGTCCAACCTTGATAACCGTTTAATTCGGATAAATTGCAATTTTTATATGGATCTTCAATATCTAATTAGTAAAATTATTTATTAACTTCCATGTGTTGTTTTCAAAAACTTTTTATTAAAAATAAATCTTTTACCGTTATTTAATTGATCAGATTTTTTCTTCTTTTTTGGAAGCATTTCTGATTGATCATAATCAACAATTGATTCTACTACTGAATAATATTATTTTCTTTTATTTTTGAAAATAAAAATAAAAACCTGTTGAATAATTTCTTTTCTTTTTTAAATTCTTTTCCAATTCCGATTCAACTCGTTCATTAATTTCTTCATTCGATGAATTTTGATTAACTAAAATAGAAAATAAGTTCTTTATTAAATCTATTGATTCATTGAATAAAAATATTCATTTCAAATAAAGATTTTAACCTGAATCAATTGTTGGGTCATTAAAAGATTGAGATTGCTCATGTTGAATTTGAGCTTTTTTCTTTGTTTTTTCTTTGAAATAATCTTCAATTGATTGTTCACTTGTTTTATAAAGATTATCTGATATGATTTCACTTTTCTTTAAATGAAAATACAAATAGAAATAAAAATAAAAATAAAAGAACCAACCATATCTAAACTGGAATCTTGTTTAATTTGATCAATTTTCAATTGATTTCCTTTATTCCAACCAAAAATACAATCAAGTTCATCATTTGATCTTGAACTTAAATCTTTTCCACTTGATTGCTTTTTATAACTAAATTAATTTTAATTTTAATAAGAATAGAAACAAGAAAAAACGAGAACTAACGTAAATCTTGTTTTTGTTTGTTGAACAGTTTGATGAAAATTATGAATTGCAGATGACGAAGACGAAGCAGATGGTGAATGTGCTTGTTGAAGTTGTTGTAAAAGTGAATCAAAAGATTGTGAATGTGCAATCCATGTTGAATCATATTTTCCATTGATGAAACCAACTCCTTTTAAATTTGATTTAAATTTTAAGTCAATATGTTCAGTTCTTCCATTTTCATTTTTTCCTAATCCAACGCCAGATTTCCAACCCATTTTTTCCAACATTCTTTTACCAAATTTATTGTCATCTAAATTATGAATTGATTAAAAATTATTCTTTTTGTAAATAATAAAAAAGAAGAAGTGTTCACAGTATATCTTATTGGCTAGAAATGTACCGTAAGTAGTTTTATGGCAATAACCTTACAATACATGGTCGATGTCTAATGCAGTGCCTTGCACTTTCTCCGTACAAGTTAAGGACAAAACGCAAACGAGCGAACGAAACAAAAAAAGCATCGACTGATTTCAATAGACGATACCAATATGTGTAAGCAACTCAAAATCAACTATCTATCAAATTTCTTCTTAGATAACTTGTTTGATTAAAGTTTTATTTATTTCAAAAGAATATTTTCGTTATATTAATTAGAGAAATAAAATTTAAATAAAAAGATTCTTCAAAAAACTAAATAAATTCTCCGTTCATTTCTCTTGACTTGGATCTTAAAAATAGAAGAAATTCTTTTTAATGCATTGAAACAAAAAGAAAAGCCTAATTTCTAGTTCTTATAGGTTAAAGATAAATCTAGTCGAATATTCCATGAGTAATAAAATATATAATACTGTATCACACTAACATTTATATCTTTAGGTAAATAAGCACTTGTTAACCTATTCGAATATACAAAAACGAGTTTCTTTTTCGTTTTCAATAAAAATCATTTGCATATTGAGTCAATGAAAGAAGTTTTAATCAAATTAATTATTTAAACAACAGATTTCAAGACAAAAAATAACGAAGAAGAACAAACGTTGTCTTACCATCAACCCATTCAGTTTTGTTTTGTACAACATATTGAACTTTAGATCTTTTTTCGTTAAGACTTACCATTATTTGAATAAGTTCAAAGACAATCTGAAATGATCATAAAAAGTCTATTATAATATTGTTATTGCTTTTCTCTCTACGACATAACTCAAAAACATGTTTTGTTTTACTCTGGTTACTTTTTTTCTTATTCTTCGAGCACGAATATTTTCCTCCTTGTTAGTAATGATATATTCTCATATGAATCATTACACCAGTGTCAAACTAGAAATCCATCAATGCACTTCAACTAAAAATTATTTAAATAAATCTTTTTCAAACAACAACTTTATGAAATTATATTATTTTGATCAATTCTATTTGTAAAATTTTGTTTTAGTGACATTTCATATATATATATTTATTTAGGTTAGACTAAAATGTCTCAATCATTGCAAGCAATCTCTGTAGTACAGCGCCATCATTTCTAAAACATTTGTCTTTAATAAAAATATCCAAATTGAATATATCATCTTATTTTTTGTATTTTCTCATTAGTATTTTCTAACTATCTTGCCATTCAATTGAAATAACATTGAACTAAGTGCATTATAAATAGACTATTATATTTTATTTCTGTACACTGCACTTTTCTATCATCAAATAACGTACTAATACGATCGAACGATTTATTTTCATATATAATATAAGAACATGTTTATCTGTCCTTGAATAAAAACTAGTATAAAAACAAAAAAATTAGACATATATAATTTATTTCGTATTCAAATAAAATATTGATAGTTTTGCTTTTAAAGCAGATTTTGAAATAAAATTCTAAATTTTATAATATCCAAATTCGGATAGACGACATCTATAATATTATCTATCGAGAATTATTTAATTTAAAAATAAAATGAACAACAGAAAATTTTACTGCGGTTTTTCATAATAATAATAATAATAATAATAATGACGATTGAAATAGAACGCTATTGATTATAGGAGATACTTAAATATTTAAGGCAAAGCTGAAAACAAAAAATATAGGAAAAAAACTGAAGGCAATAGTCAATTCTAACTACCGGAAAATGCTTGAAAAGATAACTTTTGAATTTTGACATGAAAAAATTCGATTATATCGCGCGTAAATTGTTTTGAATTGGTATACTCAGAATCAACGTTTTTAATAGGAATCTGAAACAGAATGTATGTATACACTGTGTTTTTCCGAGCATGATGTATCCGTACACTCCTGCTTCGAAGATCAACGTGTACAAAATGTACACAAGCTAAAAAGTTGATTTTCAGTCATAAAAAAGAAAATTGTTAAAATATCACTTGTATTTAATTTCTCACGTTTATGAATGCTCGGAAAAACACAGTGTATACATACATTCTGTTTCAGATTCCTATTAAAAATGTTGGATGGGATATATAATTTTGATCATATTGAATAGATTGATTTGTTTTCTTTTTATGAAAGCACGAAAGTTTTCGTAAGACACCGTGTAAAACAGTGTTTAAATTCTATTTCATTAGGGTACCGTACATTTTGTTTTGCTGGGTACACTCATTCATTAAAAACATTGCTCAGAATAGTCCAATGAAAATTGAATTTCAAATCTTATAGAACTAATAATAAAACAAAATTACTATCATTTGTTACATTCAGTTGAATGAATTTATATGAAAATTTTATTTTATCAATGTTTTGATTTTTTTTAATTAAAATTAGTTAGCTATTAAATCAAGTTCACCTTGATTGTGTAAAATTTATCACTCAAGAACGTATTTCTACAAATAAATAATTACTTATGATCCTTATAAAAGGGAAATATAAAATGTGATTTTTTCATCAAATCAATCGTACCATTTAATGATAAAAGAGTAGCTCTACAGCTAGAGAAAATAAAGTTTTTTGAATAAACGAAACGAATGAAAATTTCAATGATGAGAATAGAGAATCTCTTCTATAAAGTGAATAACATACGTATAAAACAATTGAGAAATAATTTGAGAATCATTTATTGTTTAATAATCATTGATATCATTCTAAATAAATAAGAATAAATGAAAGAGAATATGTAAAATAAAAGTACCATAAATATTTTAATCACTTTGTACTTTTTATTTGAAAATACATCGAAATATGATCTAAATATTAGAATAGAAACCTTATTTAATAAATATAGGTTTTTTGTTTTTAAATCAGATAACATTTTGTACGACCAATATTTAACAATACGATCGAAATCATTTAGTGTTACAAGATTATTTCTTTTTATGTTTTTTATCAGTTAAAATTTATTTTTTCTAAATGATCACATTTTTTATTAAAGATAATTGTATTCTGCAAGTCATAATTCATAATATTGAAATTAGAGCTGTTTAATGGTTATCAAGTCTATTTAGTCTTTATCGAAGATACAAAAAATTGATATATACAATATAAAAAAAACATTTTTGAGGATCTAAGACAGAAGATGACCATTGGTTCCAATAGCAAGTTATGCAGTATTTTTAAATCATTTAAAATTGAATTAAAAAGATATTTGATAAACATCATTCTAGAATATTGTCTTACTACTGCGTAAAATAAATTCTAATGGTTTTCTCTATAACTTTAATCAAGCGTATTTTCTAATATTTTGTGAAAATCTCATATTGAATTTCACGTGCGTAATTAACATATTCTATAGAAATTATTTATACAAATTTTCTCTGTCGATGAATCAGAATTTTCGAATAATTTTGGAAGATTATCGATAAAAATTGCATTTGGATAGTATATAATATTATCTGAATGTTAATCTTATTTTCTGAAACTCTATGAACACTTTTATTCAATTTCAATAGAAATATACTGACAGTTCCAAGCATATTCTTTCGCATTTAGCTTTTCTAATGAAAAATTTAAGCAAAATATTTATAGTTTTCTTTGCTTTCGGTTAATATCTATTTTGAAAAACAAGTTTCTAGTTCGAACGAAAATTGTGAGAAATTTTTAATAGATTTTTTCGTTGTTTTCATTTTGAATATCATGAAATGGATTAAAATTTGAATTTTGAACAGTTTGCTGAAGAGGTGCAAATAATTTCATTGTTTTTAAATCATTCCATTTCAACCAAATCCAATTTGAACTTTTTTGTGGTTCCATACATTTTAACGACGAATCATCATGAATAATTGTTTTCATGAAAAGTGTAACATAATGTTTTGACCCTCCATCTTCTTCTGAAAATATTGTATTTGTCACATGGACTAATTTAAAAGAAGAACTATCTAAATTTGTTTCTTCTTTTAATTCTCTTTGAGCACATTCTTCGAATGATTCTCCATATTCAAGATGACCACCTGGTAATTGATAACAACCTTTACCGTGACTTGATAAACGTTGAGAGGCAAGTACACAATCAGGATAGCAATCAGGATAAACAACAAGAACAGCAATACCTACCAAAGGACGAAGTGACAACGACATTTTTCGCTTTCGTTTCTTTTCTCGTTGTCACATATACTATTTAAATTCAATATGGAAACGAAAGAATTAGCTATTGGGCAATAAATAAAAACGAATTATATATAACTAACGCTGACGTAGATGCCTCTCTCTCTATAAATTTCAAAATTAAATAAATTTTTTCAAACTCTAATTTTTGTTTTATGCACAAAAAAGAAAATTTGATCTCATGAAAAAATATAAATCTATTTTTGACAAAATAAAAAAATCCTGCTACATAGCAATTAAACTTCTCTCGAAGTTTTTTTTTTCGAATTGAAATTTTATATCAATTATTATTTTCATAACATGAAATGATAGATTAACTGTTCAATTCAGATTTTATGAATACTTTTGACATATTTCTTATTTCTACTGAAAGATAAAAGATTCTTATGATTTATCTAATTTTCTTTAACGAAATATCGTAATCTTACCGCTTTTAATCCTGACATTTTCTTGTATTTTCCTACAGTACTGGGCTCATTAATAATGACTCATTATTGATGGCTAGCCAGGCATAAAATGTTCAGAAGTATTTTATATGATAAATTAACAGCAAAATAAAAAAGATAGTTTCTAATCTATGACACATCAACATTTTAAAACAATAGAATAGCAGTAGTAATTTTTAAGCTATTCTATACTAGACCATTTGCAGTTATCAGCAAGAGTTTTTCGTTCTTTCGAAACTATTTTTCTCAATGCTCGTAAACGTGTACGTTTAGTGAAGATGAATGACTAAGGAATGAAATATTTAAGGAATCAACTGCTCGATGGAACATTCTAGATTTTATTGCTGAGATCTAATTTAGCCAAAAAATATTTAATTCACACATCTTCATCATTATGAATAAGAATGAGAAGGTCCCTGTCATACAAGAGAGATCAGTGCAAATAGAAGATATACGTCTAATAATAGGGAAAATAAGAGTGCCACAAAAATATTCGATATTGTCGTAAACTTGTAAGTTCTTTAAAATATAAATTTATGAAAAAGAAAAGAATGTATATAATAGACGATAATGGTTGATAATTCTCATACAAATGAACATTTATGAGAGAATTTAATCGATTAGATCATCCCAAAGAAGAAAATCAAATACGTAAATTATACGTTTATTAAAAAATGAATAAAGTAAAAATACTACTAAATGAGATAATGCTTTCAAATCGTGATTTTTATCGATACGTTTACAGATAGTCAACTGCAATAAATAAAAGTTCTCAGAAGATTTGTTTTGTTCGAATTTCTCAATTATTGCAATTATTGGAAATTTAACTGGTAATGAATTAGACAGAACAAAATAATAAAGTATTTAGAAAATAAAAACTGAAAATTAAGATTTAACAATCATTGAATATTCTCATCTTGATCTTCTAAAAGGCCACAAAATTTATCATGAACAATGTTTAGCGATTTTGTTTTTCTTTTTGTTGTTGTTGAAAGCATTGATTTAGTTTCAATAATATTCATTGACGAACATCTGGCACATAT